GTGTGCCACCAGTTCTAATTAGAACTTTGACATTTTCACAAAATTATTATAATAATCATCAAAATACATTTTTTCTTTTTTTGAAATATGCTTGTTAAAGCTTTTTATAATTTATTCTTTAGTCAGGTAAGAAAGTATGTAGATGATTTACTATTTAGATTAAGATTAAATCGAAAGGAAATTATCAAGATCCCTGTTATTTTGTCCCAATCGATTGGTCTTTTGGCATATTGAATCAATTACGCTAAAATTTATTGACGTCTTCAAATTTAGCAAATTTCACACTAAGGGAAAAGGAAATAGATGTGCTTTTAAAATTATAAGATTCTTTTGTCGTTATTTAAACGATCATTTTTTTTACTATTTAACTATTTTAACTTTACACACAACCCTTTAATTTGCACACCATTATTTAAAATTTTAGTGAACAACAAAATTAATAGTAAGTAGGTACTATAAGTCGCTGGAACAAAGAAAGAAGGGTAGATATAATAAATATTCCTAATAAAGATTATTCTCGATAAGTAGGTATTAATTAACTATAGCGACTACGGAAATTAGGATATTTTACCTAGTAAATCTTAAAGTAATGATTATGTTAATTTTTACTATAGATCCTATTAATTTATTTTTTAATTATTAACATAGTCGTGTATAATATTTACACCCACAGATTAATTTAACACGAGAATAACTGCCATTTTATAGGTAACATGAACCCGAGTAGATCACTTTACAAGTTATTATTTAATCTAAACTGTCAGTTTTGTTACTCTAACATTTGTTATTATGATATTGTATGTCTCATCTCGGTGGACTTTTATTCACACTATAATTGGCAGTTACACATATTTTTTTTGCTAATTCAACATTTCAATACGGAATTTTTCAGTTCTTTCCACGCAGCAGGAATAAGGGACGTTACACGGACATCACCGCCCTGACATATATCGACAGGGCAGCATATTAAAATTTATTCATATTATACCCTGTGCTAGATATAATCCATTTGATAATATATAAAACATATCATGGCAATATTTTAGTCCCTTACTCCTCTTACAATTCAACTAAACAACAACTTTATTTTCGCCTAAATCTTCGCGCAGATACGAATCCGAATGCAAATTAAAAAAGGATGTAGGTATATTCACAAGATGTCCAGAAGCGCTTTAGATAAACAATACAAATCATTAGTAGTCTTTAGATTTATTACCATGTGGATAGTTTAGATCTATAAGTACGAATAAGTATGTCTAGAATACCAATTGTGTACTAACGTACATCATTTCATTATATTGATCCCCATTAAAATTTATAAGTTTATTTACAAATAGTAGTATAATCTCTTTGAGTATTCAAATAATATCGTGGAATAAAAATATAATTTGTTGTGATATCGAGGATTAGAAAAGTATACAATATAAAAAAAAAGAAAACACCACCGATAGATATACTGTCGCACTTCATACAATTGGTATCGAATAGTAAGAACCAAACCAACAACAAAAAAACAGGAAGGCGTATAGGAAAGGGATGAAAAAATAAATAACAAAAAAATATTAATTACAATAATAAGTTTAATCATGAAATTAAAAATAAGAATGAAATTAAACACACAAAAAGGCTTAATTTTACATAATAAGAAAAAGAAAATGACGACTTAAAATATGGATAAACAGAAAAGTTAATTCACAAGTCGCCATTCGTTGACAACTGTCGAAGTTTTGGCTATACGTCTTGATTAACGGAACTCGAAGCCGAAAGTTACATTCATGCCTTAGCCAAGTCTAGTTATTGATATGTCGGCCTGTATTCATTTAATTATGATATACTTAATATTGAGTACAGCTATATATAAGAGACAGATATTATGAAGCGCAATAAAAATATAAGCATACAATAATGATATGCGCAGATATGTATGTACGAAAAATTAAAATTTACTAGTTAAATGGGAAACAAGTTTCATCAATGATATAGTAAGTCCACAAAAAGCGACTGCATCAATGAAGACAATCCAAAAACAACTCCCACATCTTTTTTTTTATCCAACGCATAACTTTAACTAACAAATTGAAACAATCTTCACTTACGATGAATAAAATTGCGTATATTGCGCTCAATAAAACTCTCAAATATAATTTAACTGTAACATTTTCATCAACTTTTCAATAAATGTTAAGATTACCTCAATTACCATTTACCTAAAATAATGTGTATTGACTTTAAATTTGGCATCTCATCCTAAACACTGATCTATTTATTTATTTATTTTTTTATAATAATAATTACCATTATTAGCTAAATATTTAAAATACATCTCTAAACACATAAATTCCTATAATTAACTATTAGTCGTTACCAATGTTATTGAAAAAAAAAACTTTAGGCCCGAAAACGCTACACACATCGGCATAGACAACTACAAATTGAGCACAAGCAACTGTTTACTGTCTCAATATCAAACCTCTAATACGAGAGCAATGGAGAATTTAAAAAAAAATGTGTGTAGCGTTCTACTATACAGTAGATATGTAATCTCTTTGTGTTTTCAATTTATTATTATTTAATCAAGTACGTAATAGTAAATATTTAACATTACAAATTGCGATACCTCCGATCTTCAAGCAGACCACCACAATTTACATACCAAATTTTTACCCTCACATTATTTCAAAACTGTCGCAGAATCATGCGCACTATTAGAAAAACATTTTCAAAAACGTGCAAAATATCACCACACCCTGGTCGCCTAACATTATTTAAACCAAATAACTACTTTTATGTTCTTACAGTAAGTAGGTGAATAATACGATCTGTATGATACTTCTTTAAACCTTACATATTAAAATGACCATCTATTTTTTTTCAGTTTTAATCATCTTACTAAGCTCTAGTTTTTTTTTTCTTAAGATTTACTGTATGTGATGTATAATTTATCATACATTTTTATATAAGTAGTGTAAATATGTGATTTATGATTTCAAAATGAGTTTTATTTAAATAAGCAAAAGGTCTTTAACGTTCGACCGTTGATATATTTTTGTGATATGGTAGTGTCAAAAAGTAATTTATCGAAAAATTCGCGGTTCCGCGATCGCGACTCGTACAGCCGTTTACACAATTTTATGCTTTAATCTTATATAATCACGTTCCCTTATCGTCTACAACTTGATTCGCTCGCTAACAATCTAAATTGATTTACCGACAATGGTATTGTCAAGAAATACGATTCGATCTTGCGGTTAATTCATATTATGTGATGTGATTTTGTATCCACGTCATATCCGGATATACGTTTCACGCGTTCTTTGCCTAAATGTGTAGTTTCATAGTAAACTGGACGCGAAACTGAACACTTAAAACTGGTCCTAACAGTTAGAGCAAGATTGCGATCTGAGCGAACAATCCTTGACCAAAATCTTTATAAATACATACAGGACATACTTCACTTTTTATAAAAGCTTTCCTTACCAGAGTTCAGATAGTAAAATCATTTATTCCTCATAACTTTAAATCACTTAATCCGACAAACTTAATCTCTTTTGCATTGGACTAGACGCATTTTAATTAATTTAAGAAGGCAAAGTTTCGTGAAAACCAATTGTGAACTTAAAAAAAGTCCGAGAAGTGAAAGTCTCAAAGCGTTAGTTGGAGCGTGTCTATATACAAAATGATAAAAAACATGTCTAGGGAGAATTTATTTAACTAAAAAATACTGTTTATAACGAAGTTGTTGTGACCTTAGTTGTTTAAATTATGTCGATTACAATAATTATACGTCATAGAGCAAAAATCAGATCTCGCTAATACTTTCCCGGCCGGTGCCTTATAACAAGGCGGTACAGTGTGGCGTTACCCTAAAAATACAATGAAAATTATTCTAAAAAATACGTCATCGCGATACCGTCCACACCGTTCGGCCTTAACAGGATAAAACAATAATAAAATAAATAATTAAATCTACCTTTAACCGCTTACTGAATTAGTATGGGCGAGCATTTTATACGTTGTAGCTACCATTTAATATAAATTAAAATATCGAAATAAATGCATAATGTCACTGTTATTTCGCTGAAACGTAACGATATAGCGATAATAATAAATCTAGAGGCTTAGTATTCAGTCACTGTACTAAGAACAGAACATTCTCCTAACGAAAACAAGTATTGGAAGCTGGAAGATTGTATAATGGCGCGCCTAATGACACGTCTTAACATCTAAAATATATTATCATTAAAAATATAATCTAACAACTAATATTGCACACACATACACATTCCTAACATAACATTCCATCGATAATAATTAATTAAAATAATAATAATAAGGAAAAATGTGTATGCGTACAAAACTATAATGATTATACTTAAAAAGAAATGCAATAATAGTAAATTGTGCATATTAAAATAGAGCATAAAATATATTTATAAAATATAATTTGACGATAATAACTGCAAATTATGTGACAAAGTAATATTATATATTTATCTTTTTTTTTTAATTCAACAATGTGCTTAAGTGAATGAATACAATTTAAAATATAGTTCTGTCAATAACCATAAAACAACCAAAGCAATGTTATACATCGCAATCAAAATACATTTACTCAAACTGCCATATTCAAAAATAAACTTGGCGCAATCTAATTGCTTAACCACAATAATATTCAGATAATTAATATTTTAATGTATTATTTTTTATCATTATTTAATGTAAAATCACTGGAAACTGTTTATGAATAAGTAATAATAATTTAAAAAAGTGAAATAATTGGATATCACACAAAATTTAAAAATCATCTCTCTCGCTCTATATCGTCAGTGGAAAGTAGAGTTTACAAATCGAGTTTTACGACGATGATATAGTATCTAAATTTATTATGTAGATACCAGTTCTACGTACGTATTCATTTAGAAAATAGAGTAGCACTTAATTTCTAAAGTGATCCGAGTAAGCGTAATACAGATACATTTAATTTATTCATTTTTTTTTATGAATTCAGTCGAGTGATGTTCTCGATTATGGAGAGGTACGATGCGATTACAGTCGATCGATTGTCACTCTCTGAGACTAGTATATGTCGGTAAATTAAATTCACAGAAGTACGCAATTTCCAATTTCAACAATATCATTATAGAATCAAATTCATTTGAAATATAAAAGATTATAGTTGATTTGAAATTATTTTGAAAACAACATTATGTGCCGACATTAACCGAAACCTTTTAGCACCTTGTCACATTAACTCGTACACATAATTGTAATCAATGTGAGAAGGTTCTAAAGACAGTCAGGTTCCGTCTTCAGAGGCGATCGATTGTGTGATATTCCATGATGATTGATGATTTAGATGCTGGATTTGGAGAAGGATACTCGCAAATGGTTGGATTCGGACAGTTGATAGTTGTGCATCTTTATAAGGGCCGCTACTGCGTCGTCGATCGTAGGCAGTTGGACGAGCGCCATCTTGCGGTCCTTCCTGAAATTATAATATCATTAACATCAGCCCTTTTACATCTCCACTGTAGGAGCTCAGACCTTCTTTACAGGTTGCTAAGGAGGATCGGCCATGACTCTCCATACTGGCCCAATGCGATTTGGGTATTAACGACTGCAAATGCAACCAGGGCCAACGGCTTAATGTGCGTTCCGAAGCACGGAGTAGCTCAGACATTCTTTACAGGTTGTTAAGGAGGATGGGCCATGACTCTCCATACTGGCCCAATGCGATTTGGGTATTAACGACTGCAAATGCAACCAGGGCCAACGGCTTAATGTGCTTTCCGAAGCACGGAGTAGCTCGAGATAATAATTTATTGGTCACCTGTCCCGTCATCGACACTCGCGAAAGTTGCTTAACAACAACGATTGCGGAGCTGCTATACTTTTTATTGTTTCAAATCAAACGGTATTAATAGTGAAGAGCACGCAAAACCATATAAAACTGATTCATTCCGAACGATTTTAAACCTTATCTGTTGGTCGTTAATTTGAAATTTGATTACAGAAGTTAGTAATTTCTTATTAGAGTTTTTTTATACTTAATCCAAATCCGAGGTTTTAATATATTTTATCGTTAGGCGCTCGATAATTTTCATTCTATCGATATACATATTTGGTCCGCGATTCTAATTACTATCAACCAGGAACCAGTGTTTACGTATTAACTAGAGAAAATAAACAAACAACCACCCGGTGATTTCAATTGCCTTTTTTATATATAGCCCGGGCGGATGAACCCTATACATTTACTACTTACTATACTTTCATCGCAACACACTAAATTCACGCAAGTGACTGCGACATGCTTAAGCGACGTTTTAGAAACGATAGACACATAGAATGGTTTCGAAATAGTTATTAACATTAAAATATTATATTAGACTTAGGTCTAACTTTGTAACAAATTGACTAATAAACAACATAAAGGAGAGTAACAAGCAGTATATTTCACTATTATATATTAGATATCGTTTCAGCGAATCTACCGAGAAGTTTTGTGACAAGGTTTAATTTCGATGTATGAGCTACGACTAACTAGAACTGCTTATGTGAGGAAAACAAAGTAGAGATTTGTATAAAGCTCCTAATTGAAGAAATACCAAGAACTATGAATTTCGCTGTCTAATTAACGACAATTAGTTTAAGCGTAATCTCACACAAAAGTTCAGTTTAGTAGAAATAAGGATTATGATGGTTGGATAATTTTATAGTATAATAATTGAAATAGCTAAATTTCAATAAATAAATAATTATGAGCAGAACGGGAATAAACGTTTAACTTACGGGAAGAATTTGAACGCCTTAATTGCAAATCCCCTTTTAGTGAATGCGTCTTTGATGTCATCCTCCGATACGGTTGCTCTGAAAATCGATACAAAGAAAAAAATCAATATTAAATCTTATCAATATGTTTCAATGGGAAACATACAATTCCTCCTAATTTAACGAATATTAAAGAAATGCTTCCGTTATAAAATATGATAAAAAGTTATCTGAGCATTTTACCTATCATAGCAATTCATTTATTTATATAACGATCCTTATTCAGTAGCTAATAACAATAAAAATATAATTTTTAAATATCTATAGATTTTTATTGTAAAACTTTTCAAGATAGCAGAATTGCCAGAATACTACAATATAACTTATATGGCACATTATTATTAAGTGCATAGGGACATAACATTATGCTATATAGCTCGCATGCGGCGTGCTGTGTTCTCTAGTTAATAGTACTTGTGTGTAAATAACGCAAAACTTGCCATTTGCTCTGAGTAGTATTAAACAGTTTTTGTAATATCTCAATTATTCCGAGCAGCAAGTTTAATAATTTTTGAGTCATAGAAGAATATATTTTTAGTTATACAACGGAATAAGAAACAATTTAGAGGAATTCGATTGGTTTTCAAAATGTCCGTTCTAATAAATCTCTAGATTTATATAATTGATGCATAGAACGGCAAAACAGAGAAACGCCATTATGATAATTTGTAACTTATAACTAAAACTTTGATTTTGTCACCAACACACAGGAAGTTTCAAGAAGAAACAGACAGATCGTTGTTGTTGCAGAATACAGTAAATTATATTATATAAATTGGGCAATAACTTACGGAATGTTGGACAGATGTAGTGTGGCGCTTGGTGGGTAAATGTTTTGGTAGTTTTTGCTGCCTGGCTTTTTGAATCGATGCAGCGGGCTCTGGGAATAATCCCTGGAATTATGAAGGAAATTTATGATTAATACCGCGATATATCGCTTAAAGTCCCTATTTTGTCGTGATGTTCTTGCAATAAGTTATTTCGTATAATTTTTTTAAAAAGGCGGATTTCCGCCTTTGCATTGTATCCCATGTATTTATTTAGAATTCCTTGTTACTTTTTTACATAGACCTGACCTGTTTAGTAAAAAAGGCAAATGTTTCAACGCCGGCTTAACATAGTATATATTCTATAAATGACGAGCAGAGTACTGCTGAAAATCGGTGTTTCCTCAGTGACTAGCCAAGAACAGAACTGTACACTTTTTGGGCTACTGCATCACACATGTTTTAAGTGATTGTAACATTCTGTTAACTATTTTCTATCAACAGAGCAACCGTTATTATGACTATGACTACAATAATTGCAATCATCACTCTTAAAATATAAAATAATTTAACATCTATTCGAAGTTAATAATAGAAAGAATTAGTAGGTAATATCATTTGAGGTGGATACCTGGTGAGGCCAGCGTCTGGTTGGCCCTCCTTGGGTAGTTGCACAGTTTGATGTTTGCTGAGCATCACGCGCATCGCCTTACCAAACACACGCAACTTGTCCATGTGCGTCATCGCTGTAATATGAATCAGCATTCAAACTAAACATTTATTGTATTGAGATTACAATTTTGAGATATATTCTTATATATATTTCAATGATACCGGAGCCTCATAATTGCAGATGCGATATCCACTTTTTATCCACATTTTATCATTGTACTTTCTACCGATATTATTAGTGCAATGTTTTCTTGACAAATTAATGGTGACAGATATAGTTTTTTTTTGTTCTAGTATCAAAAATTGTATCATAAAGGGTTACGGTTAAGCCGCGATTGATTTTATTGACCAGATTATATTTTAAACATTTTAAAAGTTGGTAAACGTAAATTCTTTATGAATAATTCTTAGGAAATTCACTTTGCCCCTGATACTCTAGAGATGGGATTCGACCTATATCTATCCGGGTGACTGCACTGAGGTACCCAGGACCTAACAGGACTGACGAATTCTTCAAGAGTAAATTCCAATATATAGTTAAAATTCGCCTGGTTTTCCTTCTATAATAACAACAACAATCTCTTCTATTCTGAATATCGTAAGTCTGAAGAAAAAGTATTGTTAAACAACAAAAGCTCAAGGTATTGTTTGGTGTTTGCCGTATGAAAGGAAAATATAGCTCCTTATTTGCGACATTTCCTTATAAGCGTTAATCTCTTATACGAATGAGTACATACATCTTTGTGACATATTTGTTTACTATCATTTGAAAACATTGTCATTGTAAATTTAGACATGTTTTTGTTGAAAATTATAATGAAAAATTTATTTTTTATTTTTGTTAACTTAGAATTATAGTTTAACGCCGTTGTCATTTTGTTGCACCAATTAGTAATTAGTAAATAACTAAGGTAACACAAGTAAACTCATTACATTATTATAATATACAGAGGTATTATTATATTTTCTTTGGACAAAAAATATTAAATAACAAACCCAAATAAAAATTTGCTTTTCTTACATAATTATTTTTTCAGTTAGAATAAGTTACTAATTTTAAATAACTAATGCAGTGATGAACAATTTAGATACCTATCCAATAAAAATCTATTTAAAATATAATAACTAACAGAGCTGTTGTAGAAAATTTATCTATAATATCTTATAGTCGCGTTACAACAGCTCAAAAACCTTTCATATTAACTTTATTAACAGAGCAATTGCAAAAGATAAAGTTAGTGTTAAAAATTAGAGAACACCTTTCTACTGTCTATTTATTATTAACTTGTCACCCGAAACAATAAAGAAAATCCTGTTTGATGGTTGGTTATTAATTAACTTCACGGAGAGTTACTATCCTAAAAATAATAACAGTATTTAACTAAATAACTAATAACTAAGTAGTAACCTGGTGGCAAGAGAGATGAAAAAGTTACATTTTAGTATATTATCCTGTAAAGTTATCCTTAAAATAGTTACCTAGATGTGCCTGGTGAGGTTCCGCCATTTGGATGAGTGCTGAGTCCTTCTTATTGTATAGAATCTTCACTCTTTGGACGTCTCCATACACACCTACGTATGATAAATTCTTTAAAAACTAAGCGTGGTTTATTTTATCATGTTTATAATTATAAATAGGTACCGATAATTGTAATGAGATCTCAAAATAAACTTTGAATATAAATGTTGATTTGAAAACCTCATTTTTTTATCAACTTAAGATACGTTATGGAGTTACCCAATATGTTGTCTAGTTATATAATGCCTATCCGAATAAACTTAAGCGACGCATCTGACAAACGATGTAGAAACAAAGTAATAATGTTGTAAAATATATAGGTAATAATAATGTCATGAAAAGGGATAGTTGGAAAATCATAAAAGAATAAATAACCGTATCAAGCGTTATACTGGTCACGTAAGCTTTTAAAATGTCTCAGCGGTTACAGCAAAACCTTCGTTTGGGTTGTGCTGTATGAAGCAAATGATTAAACTCCAACTATTTTTAATTGTACACTCAATAAAAAGCTCAATTTTTATAATTTAGTTTCGAGAAAAACTAGCGCTCGTTGGCAGTATTCTCGCTGAATTGGTTCTATGTCTAGAAAACTATCAATGTAATATAAATTAAAAAAAAACAAATGTCATAAAAAGATGCAAAATAAAAAATCTGATAGGTTTAGACAGACGGAAAATAAAATGATAATGAGAGACAACACTGGGTAGACAAGAAACATTCTATCTTAGCTACAACTAAAGCGTCTGAAACACAAATTGTCAAAGTTAATAAAGCGTTTAGAGTCGATAGTGTTATCAAGCGAAGCTTCGACAAATCGGATGCGGTTATCAGTACAGAAGTCGAGAATGTTAGGTGACAATTTGTCTTCCAGGCGACAGGGCTCAGAGGCAATATTAATGTTTTAATATAAAATACGGAATGTATGTGCACACGTACCGAAAAGGGTAAAGAGAGCGTCAGGCGTGACCATCTAAAACAATAGGAGAGAGAAAGAGACAGTATTATAAATAGTCGTAAAAGATATTTAACGTCATGTCTATAAATAAATTAGCAACTTATTTTTAAGGAGTTTGAGTAGAATATAATATATATACGTATAATAGCCTGTAACGCCGCTCGTATTAGTGATTGTATTAGTTGTTTGCATAATCGCTGCATTGTGACCCATAATTAACTATTGAGCCTAGGGTACGTTACTGGCTATTGTGTTAGCGTAATAAATTTGACAATAAACATTTATAACAACGTCCAAACAATCCAGAAACTTTGGATATAAAACAAAAACGTTGCATACTTCTTGTATTCCGTCAGAGTCAGATTTCGTCCAGGTTTTCTCATTATATGAGAATTTACCCACTGTTCTATTTTTGTAATGCAAGCGTAGATATAGTAAACAACATCAGTACTTTTATAAATTTAATTTGAATTGGGTAAGATAAAAAAGGTTTGTTATTAAAATATAATAATGGTAGACATGGTTGTTACTAACCTCTTCGTTAAGATTCGAGACGAGAAGAACCGTGGCTAGAGGCAGTGGTGGCGCAGCGAGGGCCCTCAAAGCTGGGGAGGCTGGGGTCAAAGTAAGAGCGCCGAATGCAGGCAAACCAACACCTCCCACGCCCACTCCATACGGAGAGGTCAGTCCTGAACCCAAACCCAAGAACTGAGGTGCTAGTACACCGCCACCTGTATAAGAAATCAAATCTGAAATAAAATTCATTCAAGTATTATGAGGAATTGAGAGATTCGTTAATAAATATGATCTAACATAAAGCCAGGAAGAGAACAACGCTATGTGTCGCTGCAACATATGTCGGTATTAAACCTCAGACAATACAATCCTCTACGGTGCAATGCGGATTTATGAGAAGATATTAGTCACTGCGGGTGTACTTAACGTGGAAATGTGAATAATAAACAAGAAAAGGAGCAACTTATATGCAACTTCCAAATGTGACGTAAAATGAAGATAATAAGATATTCCGAATTCAAATAAGGTGAAGGTACGTTTTCAGGCATTCGTGTGATATATATGGAAACAAAAAGTAATAAGTAGGTTTTTTGTTACTAGTGGAATAGAAGTGGTAAAATGCTAAATAATTGAGTAGTCTAAAGAAAAGAATAAATATGAATAACGTTATAAAAACTAAATATCTTCGAAACAATAAGAGGTTTGCATTAATTATTATAAAGAATATGCATAAAAAGGTAAAACCATTCTCTTGATGGTTATCATATCAGCCGTAATCATATTAAACAATGAATATTTATGACGAAGGGTTTGATGAAAAATAAATGTAATGTGTAAAGAAAAGGCCTATACCTTCTAATCTAATCAACATAAGCTTTCAAAATATTTGAAGATCGCATTCCGGAAATGAAATCGGGAGCCATTGTTAATGCTTAAACTTATGAAGTTTGCATTCTGAATGTATAGATATCGCTGCAATAGTAAACAGGTGGTGAACAGGAGCAGTGAGAGAAGCTTCCAGGTGCTCGGAGTAGTAGAGGACTAACTCATCCTGGATGCGAGGGCGAGAGCGAGCCGAGCCCGCAGTGGCATCAACTCACTGGTCAACAGTTGGTGCGCATCACCGTCGCCTGATGGTAGCGTTGGATTGGTGTAATCCCGCGACTTGTCATTATTGTATTTCACGTTGAGGCAGGTCATCTTTGAATAATCGATGCGCAGAGTACAGCACCCGTTGTAAATATTTTGCCCATCCAAAGCCTGCGGACAAGGATAAGATTATTGTCATATTTACACTACACAAAAAAAATCTCGTAATTAAATAAAATATATTAACGGATTTTCAAAACGGCTAAAAATGTTTACGCGCCTTTTTGCTGGTTAGAATACATGGTTATTGTTTATTCCGTGGCATGGTAACATAGCCGAGGAAGAAAAAAAAATCACATTATGGCCGTGTCAAAATCGTTAACTCCTGGGCGCAACAGTTATTTGTTTGCGCGCGTCGCCTGCGGGGAACTGATAACGCGGCATCGCGATAGAAAAGAGAATTAATTAAAATGCAACAGCACTCAACCCATCCCTGTAAGCTTTATGCTTTTAGTTTTCCAATATTTTTAATGCGGATTATTAATGTCGTTGTATATTATTTTGAGTACACAGGAAGATTAATTTATATTACTCGTTTTCTGTTAGCGATTAAGTACGTGAATTTAGGAATTTTATCCTCTGGGAAATCTTATGCGATATAAATCTTATTCTATTTTATCCTAAATTAATCCTTTATAACGATTCATATAAGATAGAATACGAGTTCTCTATTCAGCCGGTTTACCGTGACAGAGTAAAAAAGGAAATTCTTTTGTAATCTACAAAATTTGGAACGTTGCTACTTTTAAAATGAACATTAATGAGATGATTTTGCGTTCAATTGTTTTATAGATAGATACACAATTCCTTTACAAACGACAACCGGGCATTAACAACGTTGTTCTCGATTATTTCAAAGGGTTCAATAATCTAACCATTCTTAGAAGCCATTTCATCAGAAACGTCAACTTCCTTTGCCTCCGGCCAGTCTTCTAACCGAAATTATTAATCTAAGTCATTAACATCACTTTTCTGGAGTTAAAATAAATGACGGCGACTTTGAGTAAGTATTATTGACGATCATATTATTTCACTTTAACCAAAAGGAACCATTTGATGTGGCTTCTAAATAAAAAAATGCCTCCCATAATAATTTTTCATTATTTACAAACTGATTATTTTTGACAAGGAAAACTGCACGAACGTTCATTAATCGCGAGTTGTCACACCAAATTATGATAAAACGGGTGGCATAATTAAATATAAGGACAAGTTTTTGCTATAACTAATATGTGTCTTAATTACTCATAAATTATTATTAAGTATGCAGTAATTAGAGTACCTGATAAATTTAGAAAAAGCAATTCCTCGTAATAATTATTACTTGATATAAGAACAGATTGCTGCTATCCCAGATAATAACTATTCTGTATCTTAAAATGGTGATTCTACTTTTAACAGATTTTTCGATAACAGATAACATAACAGATAGTTATTAGTAATGCGAATTTAAACTAAATGTAATTAAATTTCAAAAACGGTCAAACACTTCATTTATTGAATCTGAATCTTCAATCGTACTATTACTGAATATGTATAATGCCGGCCATAAACCTTCAAGACATTTGGATCGAACCGGCATGATGTTGAATAAAATTTAGGTTGTAACAATCGCCATAAGCAAGCAGTTAAAGCAACAAATATAATTTAAAAAAGGAACATTAAAATTAAAAGATAATGTTTATCTCTAAGCTTTCATTGTGAAATGATTCAAAACAAATATAATTTTTAACATACCAATAAAAAATAACAAAGACGTGAGCAAGAAGCGAAAGTTCGATGTCGAAACGTTGGATATTGGCTGTAGATTTAATAAATTTCTGTTCTATATGCAAATGCGACCCCCTGATGTGTAGACGTGAATAGATTGGCTCGTTTAAAGCTCAACTTATATGGAAATGCGAAAGGCACGTAAGAAAACGTGGAAGAAGATCGTTTCGATACGTAATTAGTTTTGTAGACCCTCGCGGGCCGAATTCCAGTCCGCCAATGAATGGCAAATGCAAGAGGAAAGCGTAAGCGTAACGAGTAATTAATTTACAATTCTAATGTGTACTTTCCATGATGTACAGATATTATTAAGTCGTATTTTTCATATTCAAATGGATGGATAATTAATTGTGATTTGTTATTCCATTCCAACGGTTTCAGTTATCTCAATAAATGATATCTGAATTTTACTTTAATGTATTGCATTATTGATAAAGTCTGATTTTATTTTATCTCTTTATATCCGTAATTAAATTTGAAGATATGTCTCCCGATGAAAGTAGACGTTGGTTTTTGCGAAAAAGGAAAGAAAGAAAGAAAAATTAAGAGGCCAAAGAGGGATTTTGAATTGCAGATTAATTTCTTTACTTTTATAAGCTTTCTCGGAGCACTCTTGAATTTAAGTCGGTCGTTATTTTCGAATATTCTATTGTGGTTAATGTTTAAAAAGGTGCTATATTTTCTAAAACAAATAACAGTATTTATTCATTTATTTGAGTGTAAAGTTACTACTACATATACACCTCGTAAAATTTCTGAAATTTTACCATGGTCATGCTTGTAAATTCACTGTCATTTTACTCCATAAAAATAAAAAACTATTAATGATTAGGAATAATTTATTACTTAACTGTTTGTTACTAATTGCAAAATTTGCATATTTGAAATTAATACACTGAATGATCTCCATGTCATTATTACTGAAATTTTATATTAATCTTGGAAACAGCTATTTGTTCTCGCAGAAAGGAATCGTAATTGAGGCAAAAAAATATTAGCATGAACGACAAGGTGATAAAATGACAAAGTCACGCCCCTTTTGATGTTGGGATCTTTTACTGCGTAATAGGGGGAGCGAATTTGTTGATTCTTCCGAAAATGCGATTACGGGAAACTTATTGAAATTTCGTTAAAATTAGACGGATAATGTTCAAAAAGCTTTCGGCGAGACGACATTTTCCTTAGTGTCAGTTAAACATTTGTGTTGTAAGAGAAGCGACTGTGTCGAATATCCCGTCACAGTAAACATTACGTCAAAGATCCGCGGGTCGGGAATGAGCCGTCGGCATCAACGTAAGACGTAACAAGTGTCCCCCGTATCTGTTAATCACGTCGCTCGTAATTGTTTTATCTTTAGCTCGTTAGAACTCGTTTAAGCAAAGCCTTCTTAGTGAAGGATTAACTGCGGTCTGCCTTAATCCACCCCCCGCTGCTAATTCTGGCGGTTTTTCTGTGGAGACCAGATAAACGTTTTTGTTAGGGTCCCGCTTCTCAGCGTTTAATATTTATAGGAGTGCATTTAGTTCTCGGTGCTTCGGTTGACGGTGCAAGTCTTAATGCGTTGGAACATTCGGTCCCCTTCATATTGTTGAAATGTTTCAGAAACAAGTTTTATTAAATGTTTCTAAACCGATTCAACACCATGTGTAAGCGTAATAAATATTTTTCTTTCTAAATGATTGGCGAGCCATTGTTGCACGGCGGGGATAAAATATACGCTCGATTAGTCTCAGATAAAAGATCACTTAGCGTGGGAACCACAATTCACGTTGCACTCCAAACAAATATCCGCAACTAAGAGAGCAAGCTTTTAACAAACCATTAATGAAAAAATAAAACGAAAAGCTAAATGTTTCGAAACTGTTCGTTTTAATCAGTCCCCTTTTTTATTGAGCCACCCGGAAAAGCATTCGAAAATTCCTATCGTCACGAAATGCGATTCGACTATGGTGGATTGCACTTTGATTAATATATTTTGGCTTCACATTGAAAGGGGAATTTATTCAATATGTAAAATATTTTTATTAATATAAACGATAAATTAATATATATTCTGTTTTAATTATAAAATCCCTAAAAATCGTTTGAGTGGTAATTTAACCAATACGAAATAATTGGGAAAGCAAGGCAGTAGAAGTTTCAACCTCGATTGAGGTTTGTTCAGGTTTGTTGACGCGTCACCGAGCAAACATCACCCGCTCCATTAGACAATGTAATTAATACTCGGGTTGCGTCCCAGGCATAGAGACGAGCCCATAGACGATCAAAAAACTCACCCCACACCACACTTTGCCACACGAATCGCTGCTGTTAAATGTGTATTATGTTCGCAAACTTAATTAATGGCCCGACGACTTTTGTTACTGGTTAAACTTATCCCAATCGATATGGATATGAGGTGTGGGTGTAGATATGATTTCATGATCGACTAATGAGTGTATATTTAAGTTTGTACAATATCAATGTACCTATATTATTTAATAAGTTAGTATCTTATATTATCTTAGTTTATTAATATATGTTGGCAAACATCAACATTCACCAATTGTACTAAGCCCTTAACATATTAGCAGCGTAATTGAAATTCAATTGTTAATTGGTTCTAAATTGATTGCAGGTGGAAAGTAAAACTTGCTAGTTGTTAGCGAAGTCGTGATTGTAAGCAAACCGGTCGCAGAACACCAACAAAACAAGTACTAAACAATGTTTGACACGTAACTAGGTGATGCGGAGTGCAGCTCAGTGCTGTTGACACAGTGAGAATCCAAACATGGGAGGGCGATGGGACGTGCAATTTTAAACGGGTCTTGGACCTCGCATGTAGTAGCAGCACCGGCGGACTTGCTGTTTACTGGACTGTTTGAAATTTCAATGAACTTTAGGAACGTTACTGAGGAGTTGCACATGAACTGGTCCAATGTACTTGCTGTGTTAATTATTCTGTGATTTGAGCCTTTATCTAAAAGGAGGTTTTGCAATGTAATGTTTTTGTGTATATTAACTCGGAACTTTAATAACTATGAACAGATTTTTTGTTTAAGACCTCATAGACTTGAGATCAAAACTTTTCAACATATATATATATATATATTTATATATATATATATATATATATCAATTTCGATGTTTTCTTTTGCGCTGCGTATAATGAAATAAAAATCTTGATTTTTTAAATCGTACTCTTGTTTATTATATTTCCGAAAAACAAACAAATCAAGTTAGAAATTTATTACTTTTATTAGTATAGATTTGATACTTATTTTAATTTTAAACTGTATCAAAACATATTCACCAGTTAAATAAATCACTGTTCAACAAAATAACGAGAAAAATTACCGAGA